AACTTCTAGGTTACTTGTGTTGGAACTGATTGTTTCTGTGACTTGAACTTTGACCCTTTGTGTGTGAAGTTTCTTTCTTATTGGTTGATAAATTTTGTCTATCTCGATGTGTCTATTGATTGATGATTCACTGGAATACCAGGTAGGCTTCTAAAAATTCTCTAGCATTCTTGTTATTTCCTTTGTCTGATATTTGAAGGTGGGTTGTCCCAGTCGAATTGATGTCCATGGTTGTCTGTGTGTAGTGAAATGAGGGAGTGTATATCATGTCTTTTGACGGCTAGCTTATGTTCGTGGATACGAAGACGAAGGGGACATCCACTTTGGCCAATGTAGTGTTTTTCACAGTTGGTACAGTTTATTTTGTAGATGATGTTGGTTTTGTCTTCTTTTGGCTGACATAGAATTGAGTGCAGCAACTTTGTTGGTTTGTGTACGACGTCAATTCCTAAAGGTTTGAAGAGTTTTGTAGTGATTTCTGAGATATCCTTTATATATGGTAAGGCCTTACGAACATAAGCTAGCCGTCAAAAGACATGATATACACTCCCTCATTTCACTACACACAGACAACCATGGACATCAATTCGACTGGGACAACCCACCTTCAAATATCAGACAAAGGAAATAACAAGAATGCTAGAGAATTTTTAGAAGCCTACCTGGTATTCCAGTGAATCATCAATCAATAGACACATCGAGATAGACAAAATTTATCAACCAATAAGAAAGAAACTTCACACACAAAGGGTCAAAGTTCAAGTCACAGAAACAATCAGTTCCAACACAAGTAACCTAGAAGTTGTGAAAACACACATAAACAACCAATCACGTCGAAGGTCACCGACCAGGAGGAATGATTAATAAACTCGTGGAGAAATCTAAAAGGTCACTTTAATCCAAATTGACGTATGCGCTGAAGATGTCACCCAGTAGGGTGATGAAAGCTTCGCAAATTAACCATCCATCTGCTCAGATAACAAAACCACATCAAAATTATCCATCTGAGCTACAAATTTTCTCTATCATATCTAAATCACACAGTGTTGTACAGTTATATTAACTGATGACGTTTCGAGCACAAACTATCGCCACTCATAATCATATCAGGTAACTCACACAACTTTTTCCTTTCATTTATATACATGGGTGGAATCGATTAGATATTGGATTTGAAATTAATGTGAGATAATATACATTCAGAAATAATAGTACAAGTGTGATTGACCCATTGCAATCATGTGGGAAATACGACTGTTTATACGAGTGTTTTTTTTATAGTCATAATAAGTTACTTGTTAGAATGTTTTGATGTGTTTGAATTGAAATAGAATTTTAAGGTTATTTATTATCTTATTCTGATTTGACTGGTGGCAGTAATACGAGATCAACTGATCAATTATAATCAGATGGGAGGTACGACGAGTGTTTTAATAGTCATAATAAGTTATTTATTAGGATGTTGTGATGTGTTTGAAATGAAATAGAAATTTACTATTTACTATCCTCTTCTGATTTGACCTGTGGTAATAATATCTTCCATATCTCTGGTATTTGCATTGAATCATTTCTGTTACATGTGTTGGGTTTAGACTCGATGAATAAGGATTCCGTAATCAACCCCTCTCCACCTACCTATATTACTTTTTACAATTTTAACCCTATCCCACCCTATTGTGTGGTTATTTGTTATTGCGTGAAGTGCAATAGCTCAGCTTTTTTCTAAATTTACTTATCTTTTCAGGGTCTACCATTCTTACCTTAGCTAAATTCTTATGTTCTGATAATCTGACTATCCCTGGCCTACTAGTTTGACCTATGTGGTTGACCTAACTCACAGTCATTGCAGGGTATTTTGTAAATAATTATCTCACATTAATTTCAAATCCAATATCTAATCCATTCCACACATGTATATAAATGAAAGGAAAAAGTTGTGTGAGTTACCTGATATGATTATGAGTGGCGATAGTTTGTGCTCGAAACGTCATCAGTTCATATAACTGTACAACACTGTGCGACAGTTTATCAAAATAAAATCTTATCCATAATGGACTTATACTCTACCACAGTGCCCAACTTTTATACTTATATCAATAAAAAGTTTTTTAAATTAGTTTTACGCCACTTTTTAACTGAAAGAATCTGATTAGTTGTTTTAAGGTCATTTTTCTTTGGTGTCTATTCTTTACTTTTGCTGGAAAGTGAAATGAATGAAAATGGAATGAAAAAACAAACACCCTAGCAAAGAGCTTAGCTTAGCTTCAAATAATTCGTTTAGACTTAAATTTACTGATTATTTCAATGTTTCATTGCATAAGTGTAAGAAAGACTAAAATCAATTTTTTTTTGAAATTTTATTTCACTTCTTTCCTAAAATAAAGGAAACTAGTAAAGTTCAACAATAGCCTCCCAGGAGTGCGAAGGCACACGAGTGACCTTCAGGTGACAAATCATGAAAATGAGCAAATGTTTGCTCAAAAAATGATGTGTATATTGACAAGGAAAAGCCTGAAAACGCATTAAACAGGTTATGTTTCTCTGAAATGGTTTAAAAATACGTCCTAGTGATAACAAGGAGTATCAACTGCTAAGTTAAACTAGTTTTTGTACATGTGTATTCACCGAGATGACTACAGATAAACTGTTTTTTCGTAAATCGTTTATCTCTCTCTCTCTCCGTCATCCTGCTTGCAGTCTTCCAAAAAAGCCCTCTCGGTTGAATTACTATGGTTTCCAGCAAGAGGATAGACGACTGCTTAGCAGGAAAACGTGGATAATAAAACAAATTAAAATAAATGACGTCATCTATAAATCTATCCCTAATCGTAACCATAAGCTTAATCCTAACCCTAATCATAACCCTTATCCAAACCGTGATTCTAACCCTAATGCTAATTATAACCCTGATCCTAACCCTAACGAGCTAATAATACATTGTCCAAATAGTACTTAAAAACATGATCTAGGGGAAATTTGCTCCTAAGTTGGTGAGTAGCGTTGATATTTCAGCCATGATAATGACAGATGCCGTTAGCCAACGACTAGCATACGTTCAAGGTCACACTCCTAGCAGGTTATTGTTGAACTTCGCCAAAAACTTGCTTAACAACATTCACTGTTGACAAAAAAACAACATCAAGATTTCTGCATGCTTTCATTCACAGTACTGTTTGAATGTTTTTATTATATGATTAGTAAATCAGATTTACTTAGGAAATAATCACTAAAATATCCAATATTCGTCCTAATTTATAACCATTTACCATTTAAAAATTGAACTTAATTTAAGGTGGACTAGGTTTCTCTTTGTAAAAAAAGGCAACAGAATGCCTTTAGATAAAAGTTCAATGATCATTTCTTTGGCTATGAGTAGCACGCGAGCATGCATATCTTTAACCTACAGGAAGTAAATCGCGAAGCCGAAAAGCTTAATGTGATAACGTCTCCAACTTCAGTATTCACAAGGGGTGACGTGGGTTTGAATCTCAGGAAGGACAAGAGCTGTTCCTTCTAGGTGGTTGCAGATACGCTTTGTTGACTGACTGGTAAGTGCCAAATAGCACGAAACCTAGGTCTAGGCAAGGCTTCCTCTGCCGCCGATCGCCTTCAACAACATAATATCATATCTTAAACCTGATGATAATAATAATAATCTAATTCATTGCAAAAACAGTACTTATAAAGCAGAATGGAATTCTCAGCATTTGTCTCAATATTGCATCTGATTTACTCAAAATATAAATAAAATTGAAAATTAAAATAAAATTAGCCAGAGGAATTTGTCCACGTTTACGACATAAAGTGAAAAATATTCGAAGTAAGAATTCAGAATATTAAATATAATTATACTAATAATAACAGTGAGTTTGTTTCAAACAGTATTGTCGATTCAGTTTGGAAATTTTAGCATGTTATTATAGAGAGGCATTGAATCTAATGTTCTGTTGATATAGCAGCATGGTGAGGGGAAATACAAAAAATAACAGTTATAACACAGCTTAAGTGATGTTTACACTTTTGAGAAAATAAACAAATAAAAACAAAAATAAATTGAGAGGATTATAAATAAAAGAAGTACAATAACAATAAAGCTTGATGTTGTAAAAGTGGAGGAAATGGTTTATTTAGTAGTGTAAAGAAGGTTAATTAGTTAGTTAGTTCATGCCTAACACTATTTTCAGCACACAAAGTACGTGCCATCAAATATACTAAAGTGGAATTTTTGCACTTAGACGTAAGTGCGTAAAGTCTTCTGAAAAGACTTCTTTTTTACCTGCCGGGCGTCAGTGACAGTGACAACAATATGACCCAATCGAATTCAACTAGCCCTACTGACTGATTGACTGACAGTCTTCAGAGTTCTACGAAGTATGACATAGTCTTTCGTTTAAGCAGTCCAGGAGAGAATAAGGAGGGGCAAATAGTAAAGAATAAAAATAGGTAAGATGCACGAGTTGACAGACTGTAAGAGGAAGAGGTGTTGAGTTATGCCTGCGGAGTGCCTTAACTTCTTAATGTAAAATGTCAGACGATATATTCTTTTAGAAATCGCTAAGACATGGGAAGACCAGGATAGGTAGGTCAGTAGAAAGAATTAATCCAAGTAACTTAACTTCAAACTTGATTTCTATATCAGTATCATCAATTTTTCAAGGGTCATAGCTTCATTTAACTTTCTTTTTCTCACATTGGAAACTCAAATTAACTCTAAGAATAATAATAATAAATTAGAAATATTTGTGAAGTCGAATTGAGCTAATTATCTACAAGAATAGCAGCTAGATTCCAAAAATGTGTCCATTTAACAGTCTTCCATAAATTTCTCTTAGATCGTAACTTATATATATATATATCTTTACATAACTTCCTAATTTTCTTTTAACTCTCATTATTAAACAAATATTTGCAATTTAATGGTTAAAAGATTTTCTTTCAAGTCATGTAATTATGATAACATCTTAGAAAATAAATAAAAAAGCAGATTCAATTTAACTCACCGGACGCTCTGAAAAATGATACTTAGTAATTAGTGTAACTATGACTTCAGAGAAGTTTAAAGTAAATTGTTAATCAATAATATCGATCAATTGATTCATTCAAATAAAAGATTATCATGTAATTAGTTATATATATATATATATAATTTCTATTCTCTATTATTTAGACTAACTAAACTGGCGAAATTAGAGTGTGATTTGACAAATTTTTATAATTAAGTTCTGCATTTATATGACCATAGTTATTAACAAATTATTCTTACTAATCTCCTGGATTCAATGAAATTTAAAATGCCGCTACATATAATAAGAATATTTCCCATAATTTATAGTCATATAAATGTAAATGTTGATCAGGAGTTTAAAGGGGTAAAATATTTTTAGTGCATTGAAATAAAAGGCAAAATAATTATTCTACAAATTAACCATGAATAAAAAGAGAGTAATTTTTCAGGCAGGCTGTACAAAATGAGCGTTCATCTTCCTCTTCTTCTTTGTACATAGGGAATTCAACGGCGAATTCATCCTTGGCCACACATGTTTGTGTGTTTCTTGATATTAGGGCTACCTTCGATCCGTTGGACAGAACTGTGCTCTAGAACTGTCTGTTAGAGATAGGTGTACCTGAGAAATTTGTTAACATCTTGAAAGCCCTATACAGAAACATCTCGGGAAGAGTGAGGGCATACAGCCAACTACCATCACTGTTCCCAACCAACAGTGGAGTTAAACAGGGTCGCCTAATCTCTCCATTTCTCTTTAACTTTGCCATCGATGACATTCTGGAGTCAGCTCTGAAGGACATGCGTGAAGGAGGTGTAGATGTGCTCCCTGAAGAAAGGTTTTTCGACCTCGAGTATGCAGACGATATCATCTTACTATGTGATAGCATGCAGGCTGACCAAAATCGGACTGAATCAGTTGGCGATCAGTGTCTGTAAGTATGGTATGTACTTTGTACCGTCTAAGTGCAAATTAGTATTGTTACAAAATTGGCAGGAGCCTGTACTTGCACTCACTCTTGCAGGTGAAACGCTTGAAGTTGTTGATAAGTTTGTGTATCTGGGTAGTAGTGTGTGTTGGCGGAGGGGTGGTGGATGAGACTTCCTACCGTATAATAATGAAGGCTAGGGTGGCATACATCAACTTGGGCCACCTTTGGCGCCGTCGCGACGTTAGCCTGACTGTCAAAGGTTGGGTATACAATGCTTTGGCGTGGACTGTCTAGCTCTACGCCTGTGAAACCTGGCCTCTCCAAGTAGGCTGGGAATGTGTGGCTACTCTGCGCGTTCTAACATCGCTGTCTCCGCAGGATTGCTTGCGTTCGACAGATGGCATCATCGCGTGAGCAATTCTGAGGTTTGGCTGTGTGTGTGTGTGCATTTGAACACAGGGGAGATCACCATACATTGAGTGTCGTCGTCATCTGGAAACACCGACTCCAGTGGCTTGGATATGTGCTGCGAATGTCATCCCAGAGGCTTCCGTACAGGTTTCTGTTCGCTAGCCAGCCCTGGGACGGGATGGAAAAGGCGGAGGGGTGGTCAGTCCATGAGGATGTGGCGTCGTGGGATGAAGGATGTTTGTGCTAGATTAGCGTCATCGGTTGGTGCGTCACGACTCCTTGGTTGGGGTCAGCGAGGTAGCTCGAATCGATGACTCGAAACGTTATCGGATATGGCCAAGAGTCGTAATCAATGGCGAACGTGCTGCAACTTCATTCTTTCTTCCCTTCCCGATGATAGTTAACGAATACTGTCGAACTTGTTAAGTATGTATGTTTTCCTTCCAGATGAAGTTCTTTATCCGTTTTCTGCTTATACTTTTTTTACTTCTGATCTGTGTTGTTTTATTATTGTATTGTGTGGTGCCATTGTTATTTCTTGGTGACATATTGTTGCAAGTTTTCGCTGCGTTTAAATAAATAAAATAAATAAATACACACATGTGTAACTTAGTTAAGTGGCTCTCTGGTTTTCTAGCCGGTCTCAAGCCCGAGTAAAGTGAGAAAGTTGGGTGTGAGGCTACCGACCCCACACCACTAAATCTTTTAAACTGCTAGAGAAACTTTAACACATAGAAAATATATTTTAAAAAATACAAACTCCCTGGAATCGGAATGGCGGAATGAAGCAGAGGGTTGGTGAAAGCCAGCCTTCGGGTAACCAGTCAACCTGACAATATGTCTCTTCTCTATGAAAACAAAAATAACAACAGGGATGTGGAATTTCTGTACAATGTACGAGAATGGCTGGGAAGGCTGCCCAGGTGCCTAGAAGTACTGGGTATCTGTGAAAGCAGATGGAATGAATGTGGACTGTCGAAATTGTCAACTGGAGAGTCAGTAATCTACTCCGACCACCGAAGAAGACGACAACCACGAGCACACTGAGACAGTGAGTGGCTATCCTGATGCCATTGGTAGCAGCCAAATGTCTATTGAATTGGGAACCAATCACTTCGTGCAGGATCATGACCACAAGATCCAACTCAAAGGGAAGGAAGTTCACAATCATCCAATCTTACGCAACTACATACAAGGCGGAACAAGAGAACGATGATCTCTCCGAACAACCACAAACAGTAACGGACAACATTCCAAATGATGACATCAAAATCCTTATGGGCGATATGAATGCAAGCCGAACTGGGAGCAGATAATGCGGAAAAGGACTCATCATGGGTTGACATGCTCTCCCTCGGAGAAATGAATGAGAACGGAGAATTATTCGAAGACTTCTGCTCTTTCAATGATTTGGTGATCGGAGGGAGCGTGTAAAAACACAGTGATATACACGAAATGATATGGATTTCACCTGACAGACACACCACAAACCAAATAGATTTCATATCAATACTGCTCAAGGAAGTGAATACGCAGCCTACTGGATATATAGTCGAGAGGGGGAGCAGATGTGGGCCCACTCAGATCACCATCGAGTTGAAGGAACCTTCAAGTTGAAGCTGAAATCCTTCATAACAACTGGACACAGACCACTGTAATTCAACAAAACTACAAGCAATGCCTTCTCTACAGATCACATTAGAGCAAGTCGGACACACTGCATGACATCACTGAGGAAACCTGTGTGGAAGAACATTGGAACTCTCTGAAAGCGATATTTAAGGAAACGTGTACAACTCTTCCATGAGGAAAGAAGAGGCAAGGCAAGGAATGGCTGTCAACGGATACCTGGAAGCTAATCGAGGAGAGAAGGACGGTGAAAGAGAAGATGACTAAATGCAAAGATGGACAACAGAAGGGGAAGCTGAGTTCACAGCAATGTACACTTCACTGAATGAAGAAGTGAAGAAGAGTGCCAGAAAAGACAAACGATACACTGGCTGGCAAGTGAAGCAGAACAGGCCGCAAGCAAAACGGACATCAAGACATCATATCAAATAACGAAGTTTCTATCCGGGAAGACATCAACGCAGATGATGAAACCAATAAAATATGCTGAAGGGAACCTGATCCCAAGTAGGAGGAAGAAATCAAACAATAGGCGGATAACTTTAAAGGACTCTTGAACCGAACACCACCGGCAACTCGTCTCGAAATACTACCATTATCACTAACAGCCCATACGGAACTGTCAGTGGACACCAGTCCTCCAACGAAATAAGAAGTCCGAAATGCAGTCAAGCTATTGAAGTCCGAGAAGTCAGCAAGACCTGACAGAGTTCTCCCATCCTGAAGTACTGAAAACGGACCCAGAGACTGAGGCAGATGTTCTCACGCCAATACTACAAAAAGTTTGGGAAGAATGAAGTGTTCTCACCGATTGAAAGAAAGGCTACATGGTCAAAATACCAAAGAATGGCACGACAAGAAGTGTCGTGCAATGACGCTCTTATTTGTACTTAGTAAAATATAATGTCGCATCATCCTGGAGATAATAATAGGTCACTGCATACAGAAATCCTCCAGGAACAAGCTGCATTCAGGAAAGGCAAATCATGTGTTGCTTAAAAATCCCATTGTTTCATATGAGAAAGAGAAGATGTTCAGCGAAGAGACTCTTTTCGCCAGCGAATTCATTCACATAGCTGTACAATCGCATTTATATATAATTATTTGTGTGTGAGATTTGTCAAGTTTAGGTAAATAATCAGGTAACACAAGAATGATCTAATATATAGTAACAAGGATAATCAAACAGCAACTAAAGTAAAACTGAGTTAGTAAGTTAGATGACGTAATATACAGAACTGACCAAAATGTTTCAGCTTAGGTCAGGGTAGCAACAGAGGTAATTACAGGTAGAGACTAAGTAGATGTCGGATAGAAAATAATACCATTTAAATTAGAACTAGAATTGAGCAAATAAGTTGGATGACGTAACACAATTGACCAGAAATTGAGCGTTGGTCAAGTCAGTAAAAGTGGTAGTGAGGTGTTGAAATTAAATCGCGTGAGGGAGAGAACAAGAAAGTTTCAAATGAAAAATATTACAATTGAGAAGACAAAATATTACAAATAAAGTGACAGAAGAGAAAAGGATTAGGTAGAATTTACCTGCCGGGTAATAAGATAGATTATGTCCATCGCAAGTAAAGTGATTGAACGAACTTCTTCTCTATGCAGAGTTCGGGACTTAGCAAGTGAATCACCACTGCTTCTGCAGTTTGAATAAGTCTGATTGGTACACCTTCAGAAAAACTGCTTCGTATTCTGTAGATGACTTTGAAGTTTGTTTGGGGTGTAGCTTGGTGTCCGGAATCTATCAGATGTTCTGAGATAGAGCTGCATGGGGGCATCGTTTTTATCCTGTGTAAAACCATGTTCGGTGATACGTTTGGAAAGCGAACGCTGGGTACGGCCAATGTACCTGGCTCCACACAAGCAGGTGAGTTGATAAATACACATTGATAAGGCCAGCAGTGGTACCCTATCCTTCACGTTCACACGAAGCATAGGTTTTGTGGAGAAAGTTAGTCGTAGTTCAGCTGTGTAGAAGGTCTACTTGATCGATTTTTTAGTGTTTCCTCAGGTATATCTCCATTGAATTGAAGGTTTATGTGGAGTAGGTCTTTCAGAACGCTAAGGATACGCGGCTTTTGTGGTCTAGGATTCATAGATTTTGCAATA